CACTCTCTCTTCTTCTCCTTTCCTCCCTGAAATCAATAAAAAATATTTAAAAAATTGTATAGAATAAAAATGATATCCCTCTACCCCATTCAGCTGTGCAATTTCATTCTCAGAAATAATTGCTTTTAACAGTTTGATTTCTATCCTTCCAGACCAGCTCTGTGCAATAGAATTTCCTGTGATGATGAAAATGTTTCATGTCTGCAGTCTCATAGGTAGCCGCAGGTGGCTATTGAGCATTTGAACTGTGGTTAACTGGAATATATCCTTTCAGCTCAAATCTATGAATGTTTGCAAAGTTAGAAGTGCCCACCTAGCACTGTCCTAGGTGCTGTAGGAGAACAAATAAAGAACAGACCCCAGTTTTCAAGGACTGAATTATAAATTCAATTCTATTCTAATTAATTTAAATTTAAAAAGCCACAAGTGGCTAGTGACTACCACATGAGACAGTGCAGTCCTGGACATTCGCTGTAGTTCTATAGGTACTTTGTATGCAAATGGGGTCATTCCATACACACTTCTCTTAACCTTTTCACTTACAATGTGTTGAGGATCTTTCCCACCTCCCTCATCCTTTCTAATGTTTCATGGCATTCTTTGGATGCATCGTGTAGCAGTGAGAGGGATGGAGGGAAAGCAACACATGAAAACGTGGAGGCCTATTTGGCAGAGGCTATGGAGACCCGGCCCAGAGGAAATGACACAAAGTCTTTAGGGCACACTTATTTTTTAGGGCACCCCTGTTTGAACACCAGGGAATTTATTGTCTTAAAAAGCTAGGAGCATATCTCTGAGGGAATTCCACTTAGGAGAGGTATACTCTTCTGTGGAAGAGAAAGAGGGTGTGATCCTTGGGGAGGAAATGATGGGCAGCCACTGGAGAAGCTCAAAGAACTAAAGGAATGTCAATGTCTGGTTTTCTTGGGTGGGCATGGGCATGGAGTGCTTGGTGGTTCCAGCTTCACTTTTTTGGTCAGAGTTGATAGTGGCTGAGGACCGTGTGTGTGTGTGTGTGTGCAGGTGCATGCGCACATGCATGTAGACTGGAGGATGGGGTTGAGGTGATCAGAGCAAGTAACAGAAGAGTTGCAAGTTAGTTCTCTGGAATATATCCTTTCAGTTCAAATCTATGAATGTTTGCAAAGTTAGAAGTGCCCGCCTAGCACTGTCCTAGGTGCTGCAGGAGAACAAATAAAGAACAGACCCCAGTTTTCAAGGCCTTTTAGTTTTAGGTCAGCTCAGGCTGAAACGTAGAGTTGGGGACAGTCCTACATGGTCAGATGGAAAAAGTAAGGTTGAACATTGCTTCTCAAAAAGACCACCGGACCAAGATCATGTAGTCTCCTATTTTGTTCCCAGGGTAAGAGCAAGTGTCCAGGGGCCAGCGCGACTCTGCTCCAATCAGCGAAGCCTTCGGCTGTCATGAAAAAGGCCTTAGCATTAGGGCATCTACATTCTAGCCCTCGTCAGCTGTGTGGCATTGACCAAAACATGTCAGCTAACTGGGTCTCTTCTGTTACCATGCCTTTAAAATGAAGATGCCGACTGTCTAATGTCCTTTTCAGCTCTCACCTGAAGCATAAAGCTACCCTGACTTCAAGTACTTTAAATTTTTAAAACAAGGTACTGTTCCCAGGTGCTTCCTGTGCTGCCCTCTGCTGGCCATAAGACTTCACTATTGATGTTTAACTCATTACATTAGAGCTATGTCTGTCTATCTATCTATCTATCTATCTATCTATCTATCTATCTATCTATCTATCATCTATCTATCTATCTATCTATCTATCTATCTATCTATCTATCTATCATCTACCTCTCTGACATCTATCCACAGAAGCCGCTGTATCCTATGATTTCTGTGTATGAACTCATGCATCCCCACGACAAGAACATGAAGTACATAATATTATTCTCATTTTCCAGAGGGGAGGTTAAGTCATTTGTTTGGTCAGTGGCAACATCTGCATTCAAATGTAAATCTGTCGAACGTCAAAGCCCATGTTCTCAATCCTTGTATTCTGGATGTGAAGTTGCCAGAGTCCATTGGGAAACCTTCGGAGTCCAGCTGCATTCGGCAGATGGCAGCATTAGAAACTGCCAACAGGATCTCTTGAGCAGAGTCTTTGGAGGGGATAGATATTAAGATCGGGTTTTCCCACAGGTTTGAAACAGGGCTTTTGTGCTCCTGACTGACAAGGAATACATGGTGACTGGCTATGAGGACGGATGTGTGCGTTGGGGCTGGTGGTAGGAAATTGTCGTGGGATGAAGAGTACTGGTCCCTTCAGAGCACAACTGTATGAGGAGTAGGATGTAGTTGATGAAAAAAAATGTGGCTGAGGCTCCTAGCACCTTCCACTAATGGGGTTAGCGTGGGTGTGTTAATTTGTTTTCTCAACCATGGTATCTCGCTCTTTCCTTATTATCCAAGCCAAGTGTGGTTGCCCTGCCCCATGCTCATCGGCTGTCCTCTTGAGTTCTGTCTGAATCACCCCTCCCTCCACTTCCTCCCCAGGGAACTCTTAGATGGAGGAAATGAGACAAAGTAGGTGGCTGTGCTGTGATCTAGATTTTCTTATATAAGCAAAACCAACATCAGAGTGCTGAGGTAAGGGCTTTTCCGAAAAGGCTGCATGTGGGCAAGATAGATCTACTTGCAATGAGCTCAGCCGTCAGCTTGATGACATGAAGGTATGTTTTCTCCTCCCCATGCGGGGCTGGGGGCCCTCGTGTGGGTGGGTGAGGAAAGCGTGGTGCAGGGGAGCATACTGCCTCGAGACACGGAATCATAGGACCATTGGGAGGAAAAGGCAGGAGAAACTACTTCTAGGCACTTAAACTGCAAGGAAATCATTGGGCCTGGATGGTTTTAGTCTATTCTGGATGACTTTCTGTATTACTTAGTTTGGCTTCAAGCAGCCTCACAAATTGCATACTTTCCCAAGGTGAGTCGGGATTTGTGCAAAAGTCTTAGTAAAGAGTGATCCCTCTGCTGTTTTCTGATGACCTGCGGGCCTTCCCAGGGGAATGCACCCTGGTGGCTGGGAGACATAGTTACTATGCTCATTTCCTTGCCAACCAGCTAGGTGGCCTTGGACACGTCACCTGGCCTCTCTGTGCCTCTGTCAGCCCATTGCTAAGTCACATAGAAACAGTTACCCTCCTTCTCGCAGAGGGATATCATAGGAATAGCGAGAAATTAGAGCAAGATTTCGACCCTTGCGCAAAAATGTATTATAATGTCCTGTTATTGGTCAATAATTACAACTTTTCTTGAATGAGACCCAAGAGTCCTCTGAGTTCTGCTCCAATGAAAACTCTGGTCAGTACCCCTTCAGTAGTATTTGTCACATTGAATTAAAACTAACTGTGTGTAATGTCTCCCATGTTAGATACCTAAAGCTCATGTCTCTTTTTAGCCCCATAGGCTAGTATTATAATGTCCTGTTATTGGTCAATAATTACAACTTTTCTTGAATGAGACCCAAGAGTCCTCTGAGTTCTGCTCCAATGAAAACTCCGGTCAGTACCCCTTCGGTAGTATTTGTCACATTGAATTAAAACTAACTGTGCATAATGTCTCCCATGTTAGATACCTAAAGCTCATGTCTCTTTTTATCCCCATAGGCTAGTATAGGGCAGTGGTCGGCAAATTGCGGCTCAAGAGCCACATGCGGCTCTTTTGCGCCTAGAGTGTGGCTCTTCCACAAAATACCATGTGCGGGTGCGCACGTACAGTGCGATTGAAACTTTGTGGCCCATGCGCAGAAGTCGGTTTTCGGCCTGGGTGAGTCTATTTTGAAGAAGTGGCGTTAGAAGAAGTGGGGGGTGTCGGTCGGTCGGGTGACGGGAGACACGGAGGAGGCGGGCCGTGGGCTATGCAGCGCGGGGAGGCGCGTGATTCATGCACGAGTTGAGCGAGCCAGTCAGTCAGCAGTCTCAGTGCAGTGGTTAGTGCTAGTCACGTCCGCAAATGGCGTAGACTGAACTGAACAAGGTCCCAGGATATGTTCGTTCAGTGTTTTCGCAAAGGTACTCCCTGAGGAAAGCTAAATCGAAAAGAGCAAGTTTGTGCTTGTGGTGAGAGGTCCCCTGCTTACCACAGAGACTCTGATAAGCATCTCTATTGTTAGACACCTACCTCTTCTCCTGAATAGAAGTATTGCCACTTGGAGAATCATGATGACACCAATGACGCCCCCTAAAGCCAGCCCAGCATACAGTCCCCATTGTCCTGGAACTGAAAGAAAAGGCAAAAGGCAATCTCAAATGCACTGTGAGTGTGAGAACGTCTACACAGATAGGGGAGGGTGAGCACGAGCCTCCTGCTCTCTTTCTACCTTTTCTCTCAAGGAAGACATCTGCTTTCTGCGTGTTAGAGACCAGCATGAGACCACGGGAGATTTCCACATCGGTTTTCTCCTCCTCATTTTTCTTACCATATTTGGCTCTCATAGTCCTGATTTCTGTAAAGATTTTTTTTCTATTCAAATGCTTCATTTTTACTTCAAATGCCACATCCCATGTCTAAAATCAAACTTATCTCCATTTCTCTTCAGTCAACCTTTCTGCCCAGTTTCTCTATTTTAAAACCTCGAATGTGGCTGTATCCATTTTGGTAAAGAGAACGTGACGGCTCCACGTGCTGTACCCATACTCCCACACCATTCTCGTGAGAACGCTGAGAGGAAGAAAGACCTACATTTGTTATTTAAAAAGAAACGTACTAGTGCTTTTATTGTCCGTCCATGCAAATAACTGTATTGAACCCACTAGACCTGAACGAAAAGGAAGGCAAGTATTTTTCCTCTCCATCATTCCCATGTTAATATTTGCTCTAGCGTACCAATCACCCAGGTCCAAAATCACAGAGCCAATTTTTATTGCCTTTCCTCCTTTACCCATGTTATCAAATCCTTCTGAACCAGAAGCAGCATTTTGGAAAATAGTGATTGAGGCCCGTTGCCTAAGTAAACAAGACATTTAGCTCAATAAGATAACAGAAGAGTCTGAGCATTGACAACAGGCCAGGATTTCTTTCAGTGCATCATCTGTTATTAATGTATTCCATCCTCACAACAATCCTACGAGGTAGGGACTGTCATTACTCCCATCTTGTGGATAAGAAAGCAGGTGTTGCCCTAACTGGTTTGGTTCAGTGGATAGAGCATCGGCCTGCAGACTGGGGGGCTCCCAGGTTCGATTCCGGTCAAGGGCATGTACCTTGGTTGCGGGCACATCCCCAGTAGGGGGTGTGCAGGAGGCAGCTGATCGATGTTTCTCTCTCATCGATGTTTCTAGCTCTCTATTCCTCTCCCTTCCTCTCTGTAAAAAAAAAATCAATAAAATATATTAAAGAAAAGAAAGAAAGCAGGTGTAGAGATCATCAAGAACTAGAGCTTGGTCCAGGAGTAGGTACATGGAAGCATACTGAAGATAGATCTCTTGGAGAGTCAAAGAGAATTATGGACTTGGGTAAGTGACACCAAGGTAATGAACAGTGGGAACTGACTTGAAGCACCGGCTGCTACATGAAGTAATAGTGTTAAGGTTCTAAGTAGTGTCCTACCAGGTGTTAACATTAACGTGCAAGGGCAGCTTCTCAGGATGACTGTGGAATAAGCCTGTTGTTGAACCTGTGATGAATTTGTTGGGAAGAAGTCGAAAGGAAGAAAGAGTTAGGTAACAAATGAACAACTCAGATGTCTAAGAGTTGATTAAAGATACAGACTGAAGTCCCGGTGAGCTGAGAAAAGGCATTCCACTGAGATCCGAGTGGCTCTTCCACCTGACAGCTAACCCAAAGTTGCCTCCTGGTTTTGAAAAGATTCTCTTTTTCTTCCTAGGCCTTTCAGACATCAAGTCACCCCCAGGCATCTCATTGAACTGGCTTTGAAAACATCTTGATTATAGATTCCCTTCCCCAAATCAAATATGATTTAACCCTTCTAAATACCAACTTTAGCACAGTCATATGACTTGATGAAAAAGCTAGGGGACAAACAGAGAGCTGCAGTAAGATGCCTGACTTTACGTAAAGCATGAAATTTGAGCGTGGACTCACTCCTGAGGCTGGAGTTGCTCTGTGAGCGGCTCCACTCTGAAGGACTATTCTGAATGGCTTACGGTTGCTGAGAACACTCTATGCATGCAGGGGTGTGTGTATGTGTGTGTGTGTGTGTGTGTGTGTGCGCACGCGTATGAATGAGTAGGAGATCGATTATTCAGGGCTTATGGTGCCAACACCAGGGACCTGTGGAGCAACCTCCTCAATCCTATGATAAGAAGTAGAGGCAGCAGCCTATGCACCGTCATGCCTCCTGAGCCCACGGAACTGACGAGTGAATTGTTATAGTAGCCCTTCCTGTTTTGAGACTACTTCCGTCATATATTTGGGGACCTTCTAAAACTATAGTTAATTTCATTTAAATCATTTTTTCTCTCAAATTTCATTTGAGATAAAAATAAATAAAACAAAGTGGTGCCCCTAACACCAGAAAACAGCAGATGACAAAACTGTATCAGCAACACCTGTCAACTGAGCCTTTCTCCTGGGGCCGCGGCTGACAGCTCTGCCCCCCACCTACTCCTGTGAACGAACAATGACGGGGGCATATTACTGAGGCCCTGGGGACATAATACTCCAGCCTGCTCTTTCTTCTTCTTCTTTTTGGATTTCTAATTTTAAAAATATTTAAATTAGTTTACTTTCAATACTATTTTCTATTGGTTTCAGGTGTGCATCATGGTTAGATGGTCACATACTTTATAAAGTGTTACCTCAGACAGGGCCGGGCTGGCTTGGGGGAGGGTCCTTGGGCGATTGGCCAGCCAGCCCAGACCCCTGGTCAAACTCCCAGTCGAACTCTGGGTTGAGGGACAATTTGCATATTAGCTTTTTATGACATAGGATTAGTGACTCTATTCCCTATCCTGTATTTTGCATCCCAATGACTAGTTCATAACCGCCAATTTGTAGCTCTTAATCCCTTCACCTCTTTCACCCAGTCCCCCAAACCCCTCGCCAGTCCACTCCTCTCTTTGTTTTTCAGGGTCTTAGGAGGATAAAAGTTATCTGCTACTCTTGTCCTATGACATAAATGACCAGCTTCTGCCAGTCTAGCCAGATGTGAGAGGCAACGGCGCTCAGTGGTTGAGCGTCGTCAATCTATGAACCAGGAGGTCAGGGCACAGGCCCTGGTTGCGGGCTCGATCCCCATTGAGGCAGCCGATCAATCAATGATTCTCTCTCATCACTGATGTTTTTATCGCTCTCTCCCTCTCCCTTTCTCTCTGAAATCAATAAAAATATATATTTAAAAAAAGTTGATGGCTGAGCTGGATGAGAGTTTATGGTTTGTATTTTCGCAGCAGCAGCAGCAGGCTGGAATGCCTGGGAGACCTCATGAGGCAAAAGCACTCTGAGGTGCCAACTCATCTCTTCACCATCTTCTAACCAACACGTGCCCATTCCTACCCCCCAGTGCCCTTTTCCCTCCTCTTCCCCTGCTGTACCTTCAGCTCTCTACCTGGCCCGCACAGCCTTGACCTCCAGGCCAATCTTACTGACTCCGTGTCCCATTGCCTGACCATCTGCCTCTCATTTTCCCCTTTACCTGGAACTCTGCAGCACCTGGGTTTATGTCATGCATCTTAGAACCTGAGTTGTGACATGATCTTTGCTGTGGAGACCATTTGCAGTGAAGGCAGTTGGAGCCAGACAGCTGAATTCAAAGTCTAGGTCAAGCACTTCCTAGCTCTGGGGCCCAGATAGGCTGCTCACACCTCCGGGGCCTCACTTTCCTCATCTGCAAACAACACAGACTTGTTCTGATAAACGCAGAGCAATGACTGGGATGCAGCGCGTGGTGATAAGTGTGAACTCTTCCACTAGCCTCAATTCCCCAACTAGCTGTTAGGTTCTTGGGGGCCAGAGACCATCTCTTTAGAGTGCTAGCTCTGGGGCCCAGATAGGCTGCTCACACCTCCGGGGCCTCACTTTCCTCATCTGCAAACAACACAGACTTGTTCTGATAAACGCAGAGCAATGACTGGGATGCAGCGCGTGGTGATAAGTGTGAACTCTTCCACTAGCCTCAATTCCTCAACTAGCTGCTAGGTTCTTGGGGGCCAGAGGCCATCTCTTTAGAGTGAAACCTCGACATAATGGACTAATTTGGGTGTGGGGGTGTCCGTTAAAAGCTGAAAGTCTGTTGTATAATGAAGTAGGTTTTCAAAATGCATATATTAAAAAATTGACAAATTAGTTAATTTACCTATTTTTCCTTATGTAGACACATTTGTGTGATTAAAATTAAGTCTGTACGAGAAGTTGACTTTCACAGAAGAGTTTCCTATATGTATTACTGTCATTTTAAATTTATACTGAATAGGTCTGGTAAATGCGTGCACTCACCACTCACCCAAGTAAACAAATGCACAGGCTGGAGTGTGGCTTAGTGCACGTGGGCACATCTGCCGGCAGCGTAAAAACTGCTGCAGAAAGTCATGCCACCAACAGCAGAACCAGCTCCCTGGCGGATGCGGTGTGATCCTGTGCGGAGCATTCGCCGAACGCTGTTCATGAGCCGTGACTCTTGGGTGTAAATAGGTAGCCGATAGCTGTGGATATGTCACATGTCTTTCTGTTGGTGTAATGATTACAGTGGTTTTTTTCTAATGTATGGCCTATTCACGAAAATTTGTTAAAAATAACTGAATTAATTAAAAACAACCCTGTCATTTCATTATAAGCAAATCTTGGTTAAAAACATTTTAAAATTAACAGGTGTGACTTTTCATACAAGACATACAGCCTGGAAAATTTTGTCCATTAAGTCTGAAGTGTATTAAATCTAGGTCCCCAAACTTGAGGGCTTATGTAGCTCTCTCAGCACTTGGCACATATACTAGTAGGTCCTCGGGAACTTCTTGCTGGTTGATTGAAGAACAAGGAGGGAGGTTTGATTTCAAGTCAGAGGTTCCTTTACTGACATCCAGAGATGCTTCAGCCCCACCCAGTTGTTTGCTGATGCCTTCCATTCCTGATCTGGCCAGCAGGCCCCGGTATGTTTTCACTTGGTGCTCATCTATTTGACACGACTATCTAATTATGATATTTACATGCAAACTAAATGCCAGGGGCTCTATGCCCTCAGGAATTTGGGTGAAGACAGACAAAACGCTATTTTTATGGCTTGTGGTCAGGCTTCCCAAAGTTTCTGTTATTTCTGGCAAAAA